CGGCGACTGACAACGCCCGGCAGCCAATCGCCGCCTCGCCCCGCGCGGCGGGGGGAGACCAATCAGAGCGGAAGGCCCAAGGTTTGCCTCCGCCTTTGCTCAGCAGGCTTGTTTCCGGGAGAGGATGCTGCTGGGGTGTGGGATGGGGGAAGGCAGGGTTGGTGCGCAGGGTGGGGGGCTCAGGGCCCGGAGACCAAGATTCAGGGAAGAAGCCCGGCCCACAAATCTGGGCCAGGGGCGCTTTCTGACTGTCATCGGAGAGCGTCTTGGCATGACCGGACACTCCCGGTGACAGTCCCCAGAGCCTTGGCACGGAGGTTCAGCGTCCTGGCATCACTGTGCAGCGGTCTGGGGACCCAAGTAGAAGCAGCGCTTCTGGAGACTGAATCCCTGGAGGTGGTCACTGCCTTGAAGGAAGCAAGCAAAGTCACCAGACAGCGCCCCCCTCCTTCTTGATTTGGCAGCTGGAAAGTGGTACCTCTAGTAGTAATCAGCCTAGACAAGCCCAACCTAGAAAAGGGACACACTGAGAAACGTTTTCAAAGTTCCTGGCAGAGTGGACCTTCCTTTTCTGCTCTCCATATAAACTTCAACCCGGTAAAACAACCACCTAAGGAAAACAACAGAAACCACACAGAGGCAGCCAGTCCGGTTTAAGCAGACGACTTAATTACCTAGCACTTGCACGTTGGTTTTATTCACTCATTTGGGGACCATCAAGTCAACCTGATCCAAGAGGTTTTCAGAGTGCGTATGCAAATGTGTCTAAACACTAAGTGATACTGTTTGGCAGAACACGAAAAAAGAAACCTAGCCTGTTCTACTCTTTCCTACAAACGCTAATAATTCTTCCTTGTAGAGTGTTTTAATTTTCTAGTGCAAATATGTAAAAATGGCCATCAAAAGGACCCAGAGGACTACTTAAAAGCTTCCACACTTAATTTCTAGAAACAAAGAAAAGGAAAAGCAAAAACAAAACATCTACACAACGGTTTGAACAGGAGAGAGACACCCCCAAATGACCCTTGCTCTCCATGGAGATAGTAAGAGCCACTCCACAAGGCTTTTTGTGAGTGTTTAAAAAAAAATCAAGTGTTTAAATTTTAGCTACATCATTTTCTGATAAATGACTTGAATTCAGTATGTCTTTTATTTTTATTTCTCTGTTGCTCTTCAGTGTACTAGTTGTTAAGTGGCTCGGTGGTTTTTATTGTACTCAACATCCATTTCTTCATTTACCTTTTTTTTTTTTTTAAAAAAAAAGTGTATTCTTTGATTTCCAAAACAAACCCTGCACAAACTTTTTGGGCTTTATAAGGAAATGTAGCCTTGCATTATATCACCAGGTTTTCACTATAGAGAATATTCTCAGACCTTCAGTGTTTTCTGTGGCTTCCTTGCCCTCAGCCATTTGATCCATCTAGCCAGGCTATCTCTTTCTAAAGAACTGGTTGTGCTAACAGACAGTAAACCACCCCCTTTTTTAAACAGCTAAAAAAATGAGATGTAGACTATTTCTTTTATTTATTTTTTAACATGGAGGTCTTGACGATACTTGTTAATTTTTTAATTATACATGTATGCATTATTATTGGATAATGAGAAAGAAACAGTATCCTCACAGACTGTTCAAGAAAATCCATATAGAAATGAAGTATAGGAAAGGAAGGAAAAAATGTGTGATTTATTCAAAAATATTTTTGGCAGGAGTAGTTGATATTTGTAAAACATACAAATCCTAAAGTTAGAAAGTCAAAAAGCCATATGGCTGGAAGCCATGCTCAGCCTTGATGCAGTGGGGAAGGGCTTGGACCTGCCTCAACTGAATGTACCAGGCTTTGCTGACTCTCCATGGGAGCATACCCTTTTAGAGCAGGGGATGGGGGGGTGGGGAGAAGGCTGAGGAGGGGGCGGTGAGAAGGGCATCTGTGGTTGGTATGTAAAATGAATTTTAAAAAAATCATAAAACACAGTGAGAAGCTGGTGAGACGGCTCAGGGTCAAAGCAGTTGCCAATCCTGACCATGCAAGTTCAACCCTTGAGATGCTCATGTTAGGAGGAGGAAAGAATTGATCTTCTCAAGTATACGTGCTCCCACATGCACAACCCCACATGGACACACATGAAATTAAAAATAGAAATAAGTGCTGTTTTGTTAAAGGATTCATCTTTTACAAAAGCAGGTACAATCTAGAATGTCTAACCAAAAGGTAAATTTAATAAGAACTTTAATAAAAAGCTCTTTTCTGCTAAAGAAAGAGGTAGGGCCTTTACTGTCTTGAAAGCTAAAGTCCACAAATAGCTATGTAATTTTTATAGCTCCTTTGTATATCTTACCATGTATGTGATTTTGTATTATTTTTCTGTGCTACCTAGTATTTTACAGCTGCTACTTTTGAAAGATGATAAGTTCTACATGGCATAGTCTTAGTGATTGAGATAATAGAACAATTATGAAAAATAAAAGGCTTGAAAATAACCAACATCCATATATATATATATATATATGTACATATATATATATATAATACTAATATCTCATATAATTAGTGCTTTGTATATTCAGCTCTGAGGAAAACAAATCTTCAAAATTAACATCGGATGTGGAGAACTTTGAAATATTTAGGATCAATGAAGAGTTTTTTGTTTTTGTTTGTTTTTTTTAAGGAAAAAAGAAAGAAAGAATTCTAAAAGTAACTGAAAAGGGTGCTAGGTTCCCCTGCATTTCTATGGGTATCAGCATAGGTTGGGAAGAAAGACCAATGGTATGTGATTATTTAATGAACTGATTATATTTCATTGAAAACTGTTTTAGGAGTCTTTGTTTGTTTTTCATTCCTAATTACACATGTCTGATTTTTCTCAGTGTTATTAAAGAAGGAGTTGCTTTACTCTTTATTTAAAGCAATTAGGATTCACCTAGTCAAAGAGTTGGTCAAGAAATTTCCTATTAATTAATGCAAACAATCTTTTGGGGTCAGTTATGATGAAAGCAGAAAAGCAAGCAAGAGAAATCTGGATACTTCTACCTCGTACTCCATCTGTCTGAGTGATCTCAGGTCAGTCATTAAACTTCCACCGGACTCCTTATCTTAAAATAGAGATTGAAAACAAAATCAGACCTATAGCTGCCTTTCTCAGGTGTGAGGCTTAACTTGTAATTAGTGCTACAAGCCATGGTAGGTTTCTGCTAAAAGGCAGTTGTAAAAAGGTGGAGAACATGAATTTAATAAGAACATTACCCTCTGTCAGATGTGAAATAATTTAATTTTCACAGTAGCTGCTCTTCATGGGTGGGAAATACCTATTTCCACACGTGATTGTATTGAGTTCTGAAGAGGCTCTTTTGCCAAAGCTAAGATGGTTTGGTTATCAAGAAACACTATCCTTTTTGTGCTGATGTTTCCTGGCAAGAATTTTTCACGGACTTTCTTCCCTGTGACACATCAGGTACAATTAAAATACGAGACTTCAAAGGCTTGAACATTATAAAGGATGACACTTTTTTTTTTGAAAATTTAACTTTTAATGATGTTATTTCATCCAAATAATATAACTAATTCTATAACTCCAAGCATAAATAGCTTCATATTTAAAGTTAACATATTTGGAACAATTGATACTATTTATATTATAAAAATATTACTGAACAATTTTTGGATATAATTGTTAAAAATTGTGGAAAATTGACTATTATAAATCTTGGCTGTAAATAATGACATAAGAACATAGTATTGGGAAAGGATAAAAGAAGAATATAGTAGGGTTGTTAGCATGAAAGCCATATGATCCCACAAAGAGTGAATAAAAAAATAAGCCAAGCAAGATATTTCTTTTATATTATGGATGGGTTACATTATTTTAGGTTTACAAGACTCTACACTGTTTAATGGATTTGAATTAATATGAAATCTCTTTAATGGTGATGTTATTAGTGGCATTAGTCTTTCAATGAATATTTGTTTATAATTTTATGGAAATAAAACTATTACTAAAATTATAACAAAGGTACCCCTTTACCTTATTAGACTCTGCCTTCAATTATTGTAATTTAAAAATAGGTTATTTGGGACTGGGATGGCTCAGCAGGCTGACACCTGCCACCAAACCTGACAAGCTGACATCAGCCCCATGAATCCATATGGTGGGAAGAGAGAGTTGACCTTTTCAAGTTGTCCTCTGACCTCTATTCCTGTGGCAAATCATACACAAACACACACACACACACACACACACACACACACACACACACACACACACGCACACTTAACAAAATGTATTTAAAATGTCATGTGATCAGACTAAGAGAATTCAGTTTCTTCTAGTAAATTTTTTAAATGAATTAATTTATTTATTTGCCTTGATCACTGAAGAGAAGCTGCACATCACATTGGTCCAACTTGAATGGAAAAATGGAAAGAAAATTGTGTGGGGGGGTGTGGGGGTGTGTTGGGGGGGTAGAGGGAGAGGAGAAGGAAGTTGGAGTGAGATAAGAGGAGTTTTCAAGGTATTTATGCCCCTGTTTCTTGTGGACTCAATAATCAACACTTGCATCAGGAAGTAGTTAAAGCACAGGACACCGAAATGCTAATTTTAAAAGGCTAATTACTTCTATATTGCCATAACAGAATGTAATGTAAGTGCCTAGCACCGTGCTGGGAGACCAATTCATGTTTTATCTAGGGTAAACAAGCCTGTAAACATTCCTGTGGGGTTGCTGAGAAGAGGAAGGTAAACGCTCTTAGAGATTTATCCCACTGTATCATTTAGCATGCATTCCTACAATTTTGCCCATTGGGTTTTATATAATTTAAGTTTTAACACGCAATTTTATTTTCTAGGGTTTCCTTGGGTGGCTGGGTAGAGATACTATCAGATGCATTCTCTTCTTAGACCTAATTTTTACTTT